GGGCAAATGCAAAAGGCACAAGGTGACAAGAAATGCAAGACATTAGATGCTACAATGTGGTATGGTAGTGTTTGTTCCATTACTTTCTTTTTCTTAATTCCCCCACGAGTTTCTGGATCCTTTGGTCCTAAACCAAAGGCAAAAGCATCATTGAAGAAGATAACAATTTAAAGTGACCTCTAGAAGGAATCTGGGGACCATGGACTTATATTTGGTGTTGACATCTGTACCCGAAACCTCCCAGTAAACTGGTGGCTTCACTGGGACTACCCTCTCAAATTCCACGACTAGTCCAACTCCAGCCTTCTCATATGGTTGCTCAAATGCTCTTCCCCAGAGCTTTTTGATGGAATCTACATCTTTTTCATTGACAGTCTCCCATACCCCCACTACCTTGGCCATATCATCCCACATGTCCTTCAAATCCTCTGTGTTTATTGTTGGGTAGCTCTGGTTCCTTGTGCATTGAAAAACTGAAATATGAGAATGATAAACTACAAAAAGAAAAGGACAAATCAAATAGGAAATCAATACAAAAAAACTACAAAAAAAAAAAATTGGTAGAACAATAAAAAGATAACATTTTCCTATATTTCATTTTAAAGGTTCACCACAAAACTATTCTCAAACTTTATCTAATCTTTCTAAAGACTTCTCTCAAGTATAAAGAAAGAGAAGGACACTTTCTATTTAATCACCATTAAACAAACAAAAAGCCAACTCAGTAATTAACTAATTACATATGGAAGTAATATAAAAATCTAATGCACTCATATTGGTTGAGAAACCTTAATCATTACAAAACAACAAACACAAAGAAACTTTTAGATGAATAATATAATAAAAACTGACTTAAAGGGTCAAAAACAACAAAAGGAAAGGAAAGAATCAAAGAGGAAGTCATGGTTCACCAGAAAACTAATCTCAAACTTTACCTAATCTTACCAAACACTTTAACTTCTTTATCATAAATAAGGAAAGAAAAGGCGAGATTGTGCTTGATCAGCATATAAACAAAATTTGTAACTAAACCCAGAAAATATGCAAATTAGTCTTTCTTATTGCTAATTACAAAAAAGAAGAAATCAAGATTGAAACCTTAACCATCACAAAAGAACAAACACTAAGGAATTAGGATGAATAATATAATAGAAACCAACTAAGTGGATGGTGAAAGTCAAAAGGAAAACTAAGTGCATGGTGATTTTTACAGAATTCACCTGATGGGTTAGTCACATCAGCAGAATATCCATGATTAAATATAAAGTTGCAACAAGAAATTAAATTTAATAGGATACCTAGATTTGTCAACATATTTTCAACAACACCTCAAGACTTATTTGTTCTAGCTAGCATCAACTAACCTTTTGACTAAGTGTTTAATGCAAGAAAGCACTATGTAAATCCGCATTTGGACTTGTCTAGCTAATTACTAAGTAAAACTTAGGTATCCGGAATTAATACTAGGCTCAATGGTTGTACCTAATAATTATACTACAAATTCAGCTTCTTCATTTTTGCATAATTACTTGGGTCGAAAAGAGAACGAAGGATGTTGCACAAAAGCATTGCAAAATCAATAAATAACAAGAACTAACTCTATGTTCATGCCATCAAAACAAAAAAAAGAAACCAAGATACAACATAGTGCTCCAATTAGAAACCGAAACATGTACTTTATGAATGTTCTCAACACAGAAGTCAAGCAAATATTCTTGCAATAACAATGAGTAAAAGGGAAATTTTCCATTATTTAATGTTGACCTAGATAACTCCAATAGCTTAATCCAACTACTTTGGTGAATATACTCAAAGACCTAGAATTAAACCTCAAAATGCAAGAGAGCTATTCTAATTCTAGACAACAATATGAACACATATATAGCATGAATATATTACACCTTCTTCAAAAGCAAATCTTGCTTATCAATGTCATTTGCATGAAAATAGACAAATTGAGAAATCAAAGAGTTCTTAACTGTAATGATTCAACCCCACCTCAATTCATCTCCTTGTCTCTCTAAGCTAAAGAAAACCGTTCCCAAAAATAATTCAAAGCATACTAATCTTAGAAATTAAAGAAGAGAGAGATAAGTTCTTATGGTAGGCACGAAACAAGAACACGAATCTTTAAATCTTTGCAACAAAGACAAGAATCCTCTGTACCTTTGTCTGGCTGCTATCTAAATACGACATCTCACCCAAGTATGGCTCTGAAAAGGCTCATTTGGGTATCTGTCAACCCACACATCCCTGCATCTCATCTATGCACAGTCTTCGTTTTCTTCATTTCAATACAGGTTTCCATCTCATTTGAAATGGAGGTCGAGGAAGGACGATTGACATGGTTTCACCAAATCAATTGCCCAAGTGCTGAAATGTGCACTATTTGGAGAAATGGAGGTCGGATTTGGAGAAATGGAGGTCGAATTTGGAGAAATGGAGATCGGGGAAGGTCGATTGAATTGGCCTTCAAGATTAGGGATTTCGAAGGAGATAACCCAGTTTTGGAGAAATGGAGGTCGGGAAGGCCGGTTGAATTGGCCTTCAAGACTAGGGAGTT